GTGAGTGTGCCGTGTGTCTGGGCATGTGTGCACATGTGTGTGTGCACGTGTGTGTGTGCCGTGTGTCTGGGCATGTGTGCACGTGTGTGTGTGTGTGCACGTGTGTGGGAGCACCAGGGAGCCGGGCCAGCTGGAGTGAAGGGCTGTGAGCGGAGCATAGCTGAGGAGGGCCATCACCCTTGGAGGCTCCACCATCCGGGCGCTAGGGCCCCCCAGTCCGCTCTGGGCGAGGCCTGGTGTGAACCAGGGGGACAGCAGCCTGGGGGAGGGGGGAAGCCAGGACGGGTCAAGGAAGGGGGGCTCGGGAAGGGGGTTGGGGAGCATAAAGGCCGAGCATTTCACAGCAGGGACCCAAGCCAGGAGGACGGCCCACCAGGGCCTTTCAAGGTTCTAGTCAATCTTGGGAGCCACTCCTTAGGTGGGAACAGGGACGTAGTATCTGGAAAGGGCCAGGCAGGCTTTCAGAGCCCACACGCCGCGAACCCAGAGGCCTCTGCCCTTGGCGGGTGGGGTGGGTGCAGCTGGGTCCCCCGAGGAAGGCTCAGCAGTGAGGGGCAATGCTGCCCCCTGGTGGTGGAAAGAACCTCTGTCAATCGGCCTGTAACATTAAATTTTCCATCGCACAACTTCGCCTCAAGGCCCTCGGAGGCTGAGGAAGAAAGTGTGTTCACACGAGACCTCCCGAGTGAGGCCGAGTGACCCAGTGGCCTTGTGTTGGGGGGCGGGGGGACATTATTACACGTCATCCTCCAACGCCCTCGAAGGCAAGGCTGCTGGCCTGTTTACAGACGCCTGGCCTGGGCGCTCTGCCTGCAGCTAACAGAATCCAGACTTAACCCCAGTCTCCCACGTGACCCCCCAGCCCCACCCTTCCCATTTACAAACGGGGAAACTGAGGCTCAGGGGGTGGAATGACCGTCCCAGACACCTGCATCGGAGGGTCACCCTTCCCCGAAGATTTCACCCCAATGGTCCAGGGCCCTAAGCAGATGCCTCGTGGGGAAGTCTTGTGGGGTGAAGGGCAAGCTGCAGCGGGCCCCCAGGAAAGCCCGGAGAAAGTCCTGGCTAGCTGAGTGTTTGTGTTCTGGTGGCCAGTGCCCTGGGGTCTGGAATAATACTACCTGCCTCAAAAAACCGGTGTCAGAATAGAAATCCTCAGGAGGGCAACACCCACGGCATGCAGTTGGTGCCTATTATTATAATAAGTCCCTTGGGCACCAGCGGTGCACAGGGTCTGTGGTGGGCTGAAGAAAGGACACCCCCAAGGATATCCACATCTTAATGCCCAGAACCCAGGTCACATATGTGACCTTATGTGGCAAAAGAGACTGTTTGGGTGTGATGAACTTGAAGAGTGGAGAGGCGAGCTTTTCTTGGGTCCCCCAGGTGGGCCCCGCGTCATCACAAGGGTCCTTACAAGAGGGAGGCAGGAGGGTCAGAGTCAGAGAAAAGATGCGACGCTGAAGCAGAGGCTGGAGGGAGGGAGAGAGATTCGGAGACGCTGCACTGCTGCCTTTGAAGAGGGAGGAGGGGGCCACACACCAAGGCACGTGGGCAACTCCAGAAGCTGGAGAAGGCAAGGAATGGGTTCTCCCCGGAGCCTCCCGAGGGAACCAGCCTTGCTGATGCCTCGATTTTAGACCAGGGAGATGTCTGATTTCTAGAAGCGCAAGAGAATAAATCCGCGTCGTTTCAAGTCGGTAAGACTGTGGTCATTTGTGACAGCAGCGTGGGACACGAAGGCAGGTCCCGTTCTAGGAAGTGGGTTACCGTCCTCTAAATGAAGGGGGTCACGAGTCCCCCTCTGCCCAGACCCCAAAGCCAGCCCGAGGCAGTCTTGTGGGGACACTGAAGCAGCCTCAGTTCTCCCTGGCTGTCCAAGGAGGGGGCAAAGGCTGGGGGCCAGGGGCTTAGGACCCAGAGCCCCCAGAGAGCTCTTGATAGCGAGATGGCCTCGCCGTGGCCTGTCCCTGCTCCTCCCAGCCAGAGCCTGCCAAGAGAGACCCAGTGGGAAATGATAGAACGTTCTTTTGGACATGTGTCCTCCTATTTTTAAACTGTTGCTTTTTCCCCCTGTAACGTTTTGCATGTTGGAAAAGGCCTGGGAGCCATGGTCCCCAGTCTGTCTGAAATTATCTCGGGTGGCACAGGGTCCTGGCCTTTCACGCCCTGTCTCCACGGCCAGCAAGCGCATCTGCCTGGCACGGAAGAGTCCTAGCCCCACTTTGTGGAGGGAAACTCCGAGGCTCGGGAGCAGACGTGGCTGGGCCAGCGTCACCAGGCTCATGAAGGGGCAGGGGCCTCATCCAGACCCAGGTCCCCTGAAGCTTCCGGCTTTTTCCCACGACACCATGCTGCCCCCCAGCGGTAGGTCTAGTTTTTCGGAGAGTGCTGAGCTAGCCACAGCCCCCAGGGTCAGATCCAGACCTGGAGACAGGAGTCAATCAGGGAATATTGTTTGTGTTGCTCGGAGCACAGCGTAGGCTGGCTGGGAGCTGGCATCCCCTGGGTCGGGGAAGCGGGGCTGGAGCATGAGAAAGCCCAGGAGTCTAGGAACCGGGTTGCAATTGATTTCCATTTGCGGCCTTAAAAGTAAAACAATGAGTGTTTCATGTCTTTGTTCAATGCAAGACTCAAGTAGGCATTGAGTCCTCTTATGTGCTGGGGTCTGGACACGGAGCAGAGAATGGTCTTGCCGTTGAGGAAGGGCACTCCAGAGGCAGCGTTATGGAGGTTGAGAGGCAGGAGGGTGACTTTCTGGGGGAAAGGCATTCCGGGCAGACAGAACAGCAAGTGCAAAGGTCCTGAGGCCAGAACTAGCCCGCCAGGCTTAAGGAACAGCGAGAAAGCCAGAGTGGCTGGTGCAGGGTGAGGGGCACATCGAGGCGGTATGAGGTAATGGAGAGGTGGGCAGGGACTAGTCGGGGGGCGTGGAGGCTGCAGTGAGGAGTTGGGAGCAAGTACTGCGGGGGTTGTTTTAAAGGGTGTGTCCTTGCAGTCTGGAAGGCCGGTGGAGTCACAGGCTGTTTAGATTTGGGTAGGGAAGCTCTGGTGAATGAAGTCCTTTCCTCTGGCCTTGCAAAAGTAGGTTTACTGCTGCAAAACCCACCTGCAATATTGAAATTGCCACAGAAGGATGCAATTTGCTTTTCAAATCTGACCTTCTCCCGTTGCTTGCCTTCTTTTCCCCCACTGAAACCAGGTTTTCGCATGAGGCGTCATTGGATAACACAGGATTCCGTGAAAATGCAGTTTTGCTCTCACAGAACTGGTGCTGGTGATTCTTGACAGTTCCTGATGTCGCCCCTCCCCCGCCCCAGCCGTGGAGCGTGGCCGGAGCCCCTCCACCTGAGGGATGTCTCCTAGGCCTCCCCTGGGCGTGGAGCAGAGCCCTGTTACTCACAAGACAGCCCCACCCCACACAGCTCCCTTTTCATCCTCCAAACCGTCCTGACCCAGGGCTGTGAGCCTGCATTGGGCCGGAAGTTTCGGGGAGAACAGAGCAGGAGAAACTTCACATTCAACGTCAGAGTCCCCAGAAACAGCCTCAGCTCCTGCTTTCTGTGCACGCGGCACGGCCCAGACACCAAACTCAACACCTTGTCTGTATTGACTACAGAATCCCCACACCAGCTCTTCTTACAGACAAGGAAACTGAGGCATAGAGCGATTGAAGGCTGGGCAGGGGTCCT